CAATGCGTTTTATGCGTTCACCAAAAAGTTTAGACTTTGCAGAAAATTAATTTTTTTGGCGAGTTGTGCTTATGGAACAACCAGCGGTTTCCCTTTTTTCTTACACACACAGAACAGAGGAAAAGTCCCTCAAACCGAATTTATATACAGTTAAATCACAGATGTTAGATATATAGAATAAGTTATCGCCCCTTCCAAGAGAATGGCTCCCGAAAGTGAGTGAGTGAGTGAAAATTGTTTTACGCCGCTTTTAGCAATATTCCAGCAATATCAAGGCGGAGGACACCAGAAATGGGCTTCACACATTGTACCCATGTCGGGAATCGAACCCGGGTCTTCGGCGTGACGAGCGAACGCTTTAACCACTAGGCTACCCCCCCCCCCCCCCCCCCCCCCCCCCCCCCCGAAAGAAGATGGATCATTAAAAGTGAGCTTTGTTAAACGTATTCCCTGTAGTTTATGGCACTGATGCAGCCCGAGCAAGCGGATGAACGTGCGACACGTGTATTGATGATGCATATGACGAGATAAAATTGACAAGGTGACAATGATACGAGCTTTCATCTTCCACATACTAGTTTAAGGTATAGACAGGCATTCGAGACTCGGTGCTCTGTAGCTCACCTGAATGCCCTGGACTATTTGCAGCAGCATAGAACATGTAGTTGACATCCTAACAACCTGGGAGGGGCAGGTTAGCTATTATTGCAGCTGCAGCTACAAATCCAGATATTTGTTTTATTTGAAACTATGAGCCTTAATTTTCTTTTAAAGAAAAACACCTTGCAACAATGTTATTTTTGTTTGTCGGGCAATTTGTTTTAACAGTCTGAAGCATAATTGTTTGTTTTTCAATAATTTTCAAGGACAATTCATTTTGTTCGAGTCACGCTTGCTGGATTAAGTAGGCAAACGTCAGACTCTTCAAACTAGAAAATGTAATAAATTGATTTACTGGTTACGTGTAGAGGAGGCGATAGTACAGCACATATTCATTGCATACCAAATTCCACTGATGCAAATATATAAATTAGATTGTGAGCAAACATTATTTTTGCCGGCTGCTGTTTTGAGTGAGTGAGTGAGTGAGTATGGTTTTACGCCGCTTTTGGCAATATTCCAGCAATATCACGGCGGGGGACACCAGAAATGGGCTTCACACATTGTACCCATGTCGGGAATCGAACCCGGGTCTTCGGCGTGACGAGCGAACGCTTTAAACACTAGGCTACCCGACCGCCCCTGCTGCTGTTTAGAAGTAGCGCTTACCATCATAATTATACATTGAGAAATGACTGATTGATTTGGAAAATGAAAACATAAAGACAAAAAAAAATAGGTAAACACAAACTGAGATCGAGGTAACACAATACATTCTACCCCTTGACCGTGTGTTACTACAAATAAGCAACCCGCTCGTCACCAAGTATACATAATTATAATAAAATAAAAACTATGATCCTGATTTAAATTGCCACAATCGACATACAATTGATCTCAGATATCACGAAGTCAAAGCCTGACGAACATGCAGGCCGGCGTAGCTGCATCCAGTGTTGACCATTCGTCACCACTCGCCCCTTTCCGTAACCTGCAAGCTATTCGGCTTGTCCCGGAATAACACGAGTTGGTCACGAATGAGTGTTGACTGGCCTTCAAGCGTACATGAGCGTCACGTGACTGTTGAATGGGAATGTGTGGAGCCTCTTAGATTTTTCTTAAGACTTAATCATTCACGGGGACTCGGTAAAATACTAAGAACATTCTAAGAAGTTTTATAATTATTGTCCATGGGACCCGTTTCACAAAACGATCTTTGCGCTAAAACTGCCGTAAGTCATTGTTACAGAATAGGGGTTACGACAATCTTAGCGTTAAGATGGCTTTGTCAGAAAATACCCCAAAACAAAACAACAAAAAAGTTTTGTGAAGCGGGGAACTGTACTACACTTGCACGACATCAAGTTTATATAACACGGCCATCTGAAGTCAAAACAAGGTATGAAAATGTATTACGGGTAATAATTAAGATTTGAAATAAAAAAAATATATTTCAAATCAAGTGCCTTCTTTAACACTAAGTATTACTGGCAATGAACCGAGTATTTAGATCTCGTTTTTGACTTCGTTTAAAGACTTCATTGCACTAGGATTGTCCTATAAGCATCACACAGGCAACAGTGACCAAATGTTCTAGGCGATATTAGCACTACGACTGTCGTAATTCGATGTCAGAGTATGGGAGTTGCGATTGGAACTCTAAGATCGCTTTGTGCAAGAATTCTCATTTCAAATGTGCATTGTAGGCTCAAAAACTAAATTCCTTAAAATTTCAAACAAAACATTCCAGCAAAACTTGACTCCTTGTGTACCATTAAAGTTCTGCATCAACATAACGTGGAAATAACGACCGCATTATATGACTGCTGTTGAAATGGAAGATCGAGTACACCTTTTCACGCCTAGGTTGGCATTTGGTTTTTAAATTTCCTTTCAGGACAATATCCTTCTCGTTTCTCAGTGAAAAACACGTCTATGCTACAAGTGCTTATGTACACATTACATCTGTCATCTTTTTTTTTGAGAATAAGAAAACTCATTTTTATAACTTTGCTTGTTGGAAAATAATTGTCATGAGCATAAAAACAGTGTAATGCTAACGATAAAAAAATAAAACTTGTTCCGAAAACTAGAAATAGTAAAGGTGAACGCTTGTCACAGGGAGCAGTTTCTACCTCCGTTGCAACTGAAACGTGACGTACACGTGTCCGGGGCTTCGGTTAGGATGATGACGTTGTTATGAACCCTAATAACATGGCTGGAGGATTTCTGGTGAAATATATGACCCCCCATGCCAGTCTAACCTGCAGGCCCCATTAGAAAGGAACTTTCTTGATCGATCAGTTGAAAATCATGTCGATTAGGTTGGATGGAACTCTTGTTCTAAGAGAAAACTTTGATTGGCGATTTAAGACAGATGCCACGTCTGATTGGTTGATTGTAAATATCTTGACTCCTGATTGGTTGGTTTTGAATGTCTTCAGTCCTGATTGGCTGGTTATGGATATCTTGGTTCCTGATTCGCTGGTTTTGAATGTTCCTCGTTCCAATCGGATGTGTCGCTACCCCGGCTGGAAGTTCGGCCCCTCCGGCGCTCCTTGTTGATAGCAGACAGCACGCGCGCTGGAACACACAGTGAAACGATAATATGTGTTACATATTACCAGGAAGATGGTTTATCATACATTGAATAGTGATTTGAATGCGATAAACTAAACTTGGTATCACGATCCGTTACACATTCAAATGGGTTGACCTTGCAGGAACTACTGTAATAAGGATGTTATGCCTACTTCTGAAATATATATATTTTTTTTGTAAAACGTTTCGAAGAGGTCAAGTTAGGGTTTCTGAACGGCTGAAACTCATTTGGCTGTTCACTCTTGAGCGCTGTTTCTAAAGTAAGTGAAATTACGCCTAAAACAGTACGAATTATAAGAATGATTTTACGTGAGTAAAGAGATTATTATCCTCTCGAGTTTCCGTATCATTTATAATGCATTTATAAGAAATTAAAAATATGTCATGGTAAGATGCGTGATGTGGAGAATGTTACGGAAAGAAGCGAGTGGTGACGATTGTTACGGAAATACACGAGTGGTGCCGAATGTTACGGAAAGACACGAGTGGTGACGAATGTTACGAAAATACACGAATGGTGACGAATGTTACGAAAATACACGAGTGGTGATGAATGTTACGAAAATACACGAGAGGTGATGAATGTTACGGAAAACACACGAGTGGTAACGAATGAAGAAAAGATGCGAATATTACTCACGGGTTGCCGTGGAGTCAACAGCATTTTTCTTCTTGTTGCAGTGGTTCACGACACAGACGACGACGATGAACAACACCAGGAAGGCGCAGAAGATAGCAAACCTGCAACAACAACACATTATTACTTCACAAAGCTCTCTGTCGTTCTCTGTAGGACGACAATATGAACTGGTCGGTCCCTAAAAATACACGCTTAACACAGCCTGTGTATTTTCTGGTCAAATATGTTTTTCTAACATTATGACCTGACAAAAGCCGGAATATTGCTGAGTGCGGAGTTAAACAACAAACAAACAAACAAACAAACCTGACAAACTTGGTAGTGCATCCATACCTTGGACCTTGTGAACTGCGTTAAGTCAAAGTGCCTAGAATGATGCTCGGATGGTTACGATGTGTGACTTTAAAGGACTGCGTGTGATCGATCCCTGCTTGTGTTTGGTTTTGCTCATGTTATCAACCACTTATTTGAATAAATTATTTACAGGCCGCCATTGTTTTACACAGACTATATCTCCCTGAGGCATTAACCACCATTCACTTTCTCTATGTCTGAGGGGCGGTCGGGCAGCCTAGTGGCTAAAGCGTTCGCTCGTCACGCCGAAGACCCGGGTTCGATTCCCGACATGGGTACAATGTGTGAAGCCCATTTCTGGTGTCCCCCGCCGTGATATTGCTGGAGTAAACCATACTCACTCACTCACTCTATGTCTGAGCTTAACACGCACATAGTGATTCCGAGTTCAAATGCCCCCCCCCCCCCCCCCCCTGCAACCTAAAATATGCTTGTCGTTACCGCGCACATAGTGATTTCGGGTTCTATTGGCCCCCCTGCAACCTAAAATATGCTTGTCGTAAAAGGCCACTAAATTTGTTGGCTGGATAGACCGAACCTGTTTAATTACATTGCGCCTCGACGACATGGATGTTGTTCATACTGTCAACCACTGGGCGGTATTATCCCGAATCCATTATTTCAAAGCCGCCGTCCTATACCCGGAATATATATTGCTGAGTTCGGCGCAAAACATTACAAACCAACCAACCACCCCAGTCAGCCGGCTAGCCAGCTAGCCATTCATCCAACAAGCAAACAAACAAACTTACCAGAAGTACCAGGCTGTTTGGCAGGTGAAATTTCCGTCTGCGTCGATACAGGCCTGCAATACAGGACAAATCATGTAACAACAGTGTTGTTGAAGAGACACAATAACAACAAACACAGTTAATGTTGCAATGTAGACTTATTACCTCTGACTAATATAGCAACAATCAATAAAGCTCGTTTTAGGATTGCCAAACGCTAGTAATCATTGACCTTTGCTTTCTGAGGTGAAACTCATTACTATAGACTTCTATTTGTATGATTTAAAGCCTCACGTGTACCCCAATCTTTTAACGTCTTTTGGTATGACGCGGCCGGGGATCGAGCCCCGGACCTTCCGCTCTCCGGGCGGACGCTCTACCACTAGACCACGGAGGCGGTCTTTTCTTTAAAGGAACCTCAAGATATCATAACTAGTATGAACATAATCAGAACACTAATGATAAATCTGTGGGCGGTTGGGGAGTCTAGTGGTTAAAGTATTGGTTCCTCTCGCCAAAGGCCCGGGTTCGATACCCGATTAGTGTGGACACCGTAGGTCCGGACACTCCACTGTCCACCCGATCACTGTCAGGAACAGGTATGTACTATCAAATGGACATCCCGACGTTACTGAAATCTGGACAATTTAACTTGGAGAGGTGCCGTCCGCATTATGAGGGTTTCGTTGTAAAATCTACATTTTGGTTTACAAAATTGTAAGTATTGAAGAGATTTACCAATTGTCACAACCTTTAAACACATGTAAGGGATATGAATCAGTGAGCAATATCACGGCGGGGGACACCAGAAATGGGCTTCACACTTTGTACCTATGTTCGGAATCGAACCCGGGTCTTCGGCGTGACGAGCGAACGCTCTAACCACAAGGCTACCCGACCGCCCCTAATATGAATGAAGAGAGATTGTCACCATGTCTATTTTCTTGATAGGAAGGACTTGTCCATGTTACCGAAGTCATACGCTTTAATCTTAAATTTAGTCTCAGATACGGACCCAGGTTTTGGAAAAAATGTGTGTGTGTGTGTGTGTGTGTGCGTGCGTGCGTGCGTGCGTGCGTGCGTGTGTGTGTGTGGATGTGTGTGTAGATGTGTTTGTGTGGATGTGTGTGTGTGTGGATGTGTGTATGTGAATGTGTGTGTGTGTGTGGATGTGTGTGTGTGTGTGGATGTGTTTGTGTGGATATGTGTGTGTGGATGTGTGTGTGTGTGTGTGTCTGGATGTGTGTGTGGATGTGTTTGTGTGGATGTGTGTGTGGATGTGTCTATGTGTGTGCTGAGATATTGCGATTGGTTGATTTACAGACTTCCTTCGTCAAAAGATAAAAACACGTTTGTGTGTGGATGTGTTTGTTTGTGTGTGTGTGTTTGACACGTTTGAAGATTTTTTGTTTCAAGTTTCACAACTTCAATTGGACAATTATTAAACCTGTTGAAGTGTGTTCCCCCCACCCACACTGGATCCACCAAGAGGTCACGCGGTAATAGATTAATTTTACCAATTATTGATCCTTGGCTAAATAATTTATACCCGACCTCTTTGTTTGAGTGCTATCCGTTTAGCAACAACTCTCTTCACTTAAATGAGTCATGACTGTATTTATCCACCATTCGCTGTGCACACAACACACGAAGAGTCATTAGACCTTGTGATAGGACCTGCGCTAATATTGTATTAGTGTGCATCTCATCATTTAGCGTGTGGGAGGAAAACACTATCAGCATCACAAAAAACATGTATTGTTAGCCATTCATGATGTGCATGACGACCACGGTGCTGCTGAAGCTGTCGAAAACATCCACGTAATCAATATATACCAGCGGTTGCAACAGTGTAAGCGATAGGGAAATACCAGATTTTACCTCCATCCAGTTGACCAATAATGTATGCACGATGAAACATGTCACTGATTGGTGTATGCTATTTAAAGAACGCCGTTTGATTCTATAACGGTTGTTTGTTGTTTAACACCGCTCTCAGTAATTTTCCAGCTATATGACCGCGGTATATAATCGAGTCTGGATCAGATTGGCACCATAAGCATCGATCCACGCAATTCGGATACGATGACACGCAACCAACCAAGTCGACGACAAGCATGGGTTGCTGCGGTCGTTCTAACCGGGCATTCCCGCGGTGAAACCCTGATTCTAAAAAGCAACCCTTTGGATTACAGTCTTAGGGTTAAACTGTACGTAACTTTAGCGAGGGCAATAATACAAATCAATGAACTTTTGTGTTGGAACGCCATGTTTCCAGGCGATTGAGTAACCTTATGGATGAACCGTTGTATCGTCACGCCGAAGACATGTGTATATGGATTCCTTACACGGGTAGATGGATTCCTTAGATGGGTAGATGGATTCCTTAGATGGGTAGATGGATTCCTTAGATGGGTAGATGGATTCCTTACACGGGGACATGGATTCCTTACACGGGTAGATGGATTCCTTACACGGGTAGATGGATTCCTTAGATGGGGACATGGATTCCTTAGATGGGAACGTGGATTCCTTAGATGGGGACGTGGATTCCTTACACGGGTAGATGGATTCCTTACACGGGTAGATGGATTCTTTAGTCGGGGACATGGATTCCTTAGATGGGGACGTGGATTCCTTACACGGGTAGATGGATTCCTTACACGGGGACATGGATTCTTTAGTCGGGGACATGGATTCCCTACACGGGTAGATGGATTCCTTAGATGGGGGCATGGATTCCTTACACGGGTAGATGGATTCTTTAGTCGGGGACATGGATTCCTTAGATGGGGACGTGGATTCCTTACACGGGTAGATGGATTCCTTACACGGGGACATGGATTCTTTAGTCGGGGACATGGATTCCCTACACGGGTAGATGGATTCTTTAGATGGGGGCATGGATTCCTTACACGGGGACATGGATTCCTTACACGGGGACATGGATTCCTTACACGGGGACATGGATTCCTTACACGGGTAGATGGATTCCTTACACGGGTAGATGGATTCCTTAGATGGGGACATGGATTCCTTACACGGGTAGATGGATTCCTTACACGGGTAGATGGATTCCTTACACGGGTAGATGGATTCCTTAGATGGGGACATGGATTCCTTACACGGGTAGATGGATTCCTTAGATGGGTAGATGGATTCCTTACACGGGTAGATGGATTCCTTAGATGGGGACATGGATTCCTTACACGGGTAGATGGATTCCTTACACGGGTAGATGGATTCCTTACACGGGTAGATGGATTCCTTACACGGGTAGATGGATTCCTTTGTGGGTCTGTGGTCACTCTTACTCATGGACATGTTTGTGTGTCTGTGGTCTATTTCACTGATTGACATATCAATGGTCAGTCTTATAGATGTACTTGCCTTCGGGTGTGGGCAATTTTACGGCAACTTATGTCAACAGTTTATTTCCGTTATACATACATTGATATATCGGTATTTACATTGTGTGTAATTTTCCTTTTGAAGGTTCCATAAAAAAAACGTTGATATCATTTTTAAAGTCGTGACAGTTATCCGATACAATAATAACGATAATACTACCATGCAATATATTCTTTGACGAGTCACAATGAGATAGACCTGAAACTCGTCACAGATCGTCACATCAAAGCTCTTAATTGTTGTCAGAAACGGTGGCCATTAATATCAATGCACATTCTATTGACAAGAAAATGGCACACGGTGCATTCGGTATTCCTCCGCCGGTGATACAGTTATTATCCAATGAATGGTCTCAGGTATGTTCGATGTAACTGATCATGATGGACTTCAGGAACTGTTAATTTTAACGCTCGTGTAGAGAAAGCCATCGAGCAATGCACAAAGGCTGGGAGACGTAAAGTGACATGTGACTTAAATACAGCACAATGGAGCTCCCTTGCCGTGCAGTACACAGGACTTTTGTGTGGAAAAAGAGTTATATATATAGTTAAATAGTTCCGATAAAAATAGTTTGGTGAGTGTCGTTTGGGGATTATGCAGCGCTTGGATTGAACGCTTGATGACTACCTCTAGCGTAACGTTGAGTGGACTAACTAGCTCCTACTGAACCTGTTAGTTACGATATATAATGTCAAATAATTCAAGTTTTATTCATCAGATCATTCCAGATGTTTATTATAGCAAAATGATCACTTTGATCAAATTTTTTTATCGATGTCGTGCGGAATAAAAACTGTTAGTTTGGATTTGTGTGACACGCTATAGCAATAAACATTAAAGTAACGGTCGCACTAAAAGTCCTGGGTGACAGCATTGATATGAAGATATAAATACCAACATATGACTGCAGGTGGGTCTACTAAAATAGTCAAGAGCATAGGTAGCCTGCGTCGAGATCCACACGGCGAGACAGACACTCGACTTTATGCTTCAAATCAGTTTTGTTAATTTTTAATGTTTTTTAGCTTTCAACGGGTATTATTCTGTCACGGCGACGTGACCTAGCTGTATGTTTATTCTGTTCATTATTGTTTTATTAATGTAAATAGACGTGTTTAACGACTGTAGTTGAACGTTGCGTACTGGGATTATGAAGAAGGATCGATTGTGAGTTATCGGTGGGAAGAGAGAGAGAGAGAGAGAGAGAGAGAGAGAGAGAGAGAGAGAGAGAGAGAGAGAGAGAGAGAGAGAGAGAAACGGACAAAAGACTGGTTCTAGAGGGAAACTGAAATAACCAACAAATAATGGTCCCTGGAAGGGAAGACTGACCATGTAAGTGTCTGAAGTAAGCGCCGGTCGGCTATGCATGTCGTTGTATTAATCTCATTCTCATAATGCACACTTATGTTCTAACCTAGCTTCAATGAATATCGATAGAAAAAACACTTAGTCAAATACACTCTTGTACGTTGTCAATTCATTCAGACGACAGTTTGTCACGTATAGTCGTCTAGATCATTAAAATGTCACAACCCACAAATGGATAGCAATATATGCAACAATGAACGTACATATGGCCCTATACGTTGATATAATGATACGGCAGATAAAAAACGTTTTTGTTGTATATTTGTTGCGCGGTGTCCTCACGCTATGACAGTCG